AGAGGGTTGGGGGTCAAATGTTAAAAGGTTTTGGCCAAGCTCAATTGAGAGTCCCCCCCCCCCCCCCCCCCTCTCAGGCACATGTTATCTCTCTCACTTCATGCCCTGTTGTTTGTTGATAAACCAAATACACATAGTGGCGGAGTCAATAAATGGCCACCTGCTTGCATGAACACGGCATGGAACTACATAGGTTACAAAGGTCTAGGCTCAGGCCGCATCGAATTCTGCTATGTATCCGCCCGAAGGATGGTACCGTACAGCAGTCTACAGTACTTTGAAGTGAAACACGAGATACCACACCCCGCAGATAACAATTGTATCACCGGGGGTTGAATTCTTGGCGGGGTGTGCTATTTTGCATGGCCCGGGCGATGAAGTGCAGGGTGCGGGAGCCATGTGTTGGAATATTTGGCACTACCGTAGCTTCAGCATTTAGGTAGTCAGTTTGACTAGTTCAAATATTGTCAATGTCGCTATGTCATGTAGGTAAAATTCCGTCTGGTCTGTCATACTCGGAATATGGAGACATGGTTGATGTTCTGTGTTTCATATCCAGAAATAATCTGCATAGCCTAGATTTCCAGAAATATGTCATAGTGCAAGTAGCTCAGACTTGCGTGCTCGGAAAGATATATGCATCGGGTAGTTGTCGCAAGTGCCTCTGACTTGTGTGTATGAAAGGATATGTACCGCCGCAAGTAACTCAGACTTGCGTGGTTGAAAGAATGAATATTTGTCTGCGCTCAGCAGTCGAATTTGGAAAGTACAATAGTTCAATTGTTGAAGCTGTATTCTGCGGTTTGTCGTACGTCAGTGCAAGTAATCACTTGTGCGTGCAAGTACAATACTTGATGTGCACACGTGGCACAAGTTCGAGAGCATGGTGTTGAAGTCATCTTTCCAGAAACGTATCGTAGCTTGTTGTTGTTGTTGTTGTTGTTGCCTTCACATTAAAAACCGTTCCGATCTCTCTCTACCCAGTACCTTCGTATGTCCGTACTGATCCAACACTCGACGCGGTCGATTCCCGTGGTCACAGGTTAACTTACCCTAAAAAGGTACACTCAAATAATCTGGCCCCGAGGGGTCCGCAAGTCAATAGAAATCAACGACAGATATTCTGGGATCCTCCGCTCCCTCTTCACGCTATGCGGGGTATCAACTGAGATTAGCAGTCACTATCTATCATGGGCCGGAGAGAAAGAGGCACACTCCCTTGGTTCAATCTTGGTACTTCACAACGCAAGCAGAGACAAGTCCATCTGGCACAGAAAAAGAGAGAAAAAAAGAGAGAAAAAAAAGGACAAAGAGAAAAAAAAGGAGAAAAAATAAAAATGGAAACCGTAAGGAGAAGAGAAAATAAATGAAAATAAAATGAAAAAATGAAAAAAAGGGCGAGGACAAAGAGGGACCAGGCCGAAAATAACAGGAAGTATGAGGCAGAACAAGGCACACGGTGGAGAGA